GTACAGGAATGTCAGCCTGGAGTCTTGCAAGCTGCTACTTCATGTGTCTGCACCCCAGCCCCTCTCCCATGATTTCCCCTCGAAAAGCCCTGACTGCTTGTGTGTCAGGAGGATGGTGGTTCTCTAAGGCAGGAGCCTGCCACTCCCTCGTTTGCTAGCAAGTCAATAAACTATTCTTTCCTTTCTTCAAAACCTTGTCACTGTGTTTTGTGATTTGACCTCAGGGACAAGGACTGGGTTTCGGTACCAGGAGCGGCCCCCCGACCAAGTGCCCGCAGTGCCGCTCCCTCGGTGTCAGGGCCCAAGGCCGAGCTGTCCTGGAGGAACGCAGAGCTCCTGCCTTCCTCCTCGCTAGCCACAGGGGACTGTGCCAGCAGGGAATTCGTGCTGTGTGGTAGCTTGAGCACAAGCCTCTAGGATTCCCTCTAAAGTACACATTGAAAGCAGTAATGCCTTCCAGGAGAGAGTACAGAAACCAGTGTCACCACCAAGGATTTGGAAGATGTCGGGGTGGTGATTTCCACATACCCTTGTTGAAGTCACTCATTTGGCCTACTCAGAAAAAAGATGAATCTTGGAGATGCCAGTGCATGATTGTCAACGTAATCAGAGTGGCTCAGGTTGCCGTTACTGCTGCACATGGGGCTTCATCACTTGATCCCCAAGCTGCCAGTGTGTAAGTATTGGTCAGGAAAATGCTCTTTGTTCTCTTCCTGTGAGTAAAGACCAGCAGGGCAGTTAGCTTTCAGCCGGCAAGGAGAGAAAACTATCTCAGAGGCATATCAGACCTCCAGACTTAGGTTGTCATTTACTCAGAAGGAACCTTCATCTCCTTTTCCTTCCAGAAGACATCACACTGTCCCATCACATTGATGGTATTATGCTGATTGGATGCAGTGATCAGGAAGTAGAACTCCCGTGTCACCCGAGGACCCCCGAGGTAACACAGGGCAGCCCAGAGCGGGCCACTCCAGGGCCAGGCCACGAGTGTGACCCATACTGCCTGACCTTTCCCCAGGCCCCTTGTGTGTGTGCGGTGGGCATGGGGCATGGGTGGGACTGCAGGCTGGGGAGGAGGGGGGATGTTCTAGGGTGGGAGCTTGTTGTGAGGTGGTGGCCCCCTGGTGGGGCAGTCAGTGTCACAGCTCTGGTCTCATCATTCAGGACATGGAGGTGAGTGTTGGGACCAAGTACTTCCACCCACATGTTAGTCCTGAGCCCAGGGGTGTCCTCTTCTTCCCCCAGGGACTGGATGTCTACGCAGATGGCCCTGTGGGCCTGATCTCTGGGGCAGAGTTTGGGGCCCACATTGCCCCCTGAGGGGAGGTCCAGGCATCCCCAGGTGCCTCCTCCCCAGCTACCAGGTGCTGGCTTTGCAGAGCTCCACCCTGGGGAGCGTGGAGGAGCTGGTGGATGGATTCACCTACTCCATCTCCCTGGACCTGGGGCAGGCTGTGTACACCCCAGGACCCCGTTCCACACCTGGCAACCTGCCAGGGCCCTCCCAGGGCCCTCCCATGACAGTGGCCGACAGGACCACTCCAGAGGGCCTGGAATCTTGTTCCCGGGGGCACCCCGTGCCTCTCCTTGCTCGCACCCCAGGAGGCTGGGGGCTCTCAGGTGAGCCACAAACCTCCCTCGTCCTGGTGGTTCCTGGATTTCCCACTGACTATATCCCTGCTGCCCCTCTCAGCGAGATGGTGAGCTAACTCTCTATCGGAGTGAGCTCAACATGAGCAGGGTTCCCCAGACGGGCGTGAGGAGGAGGCAGACAAGGCGCACAGCATGGGAGGAACGAGCTCCAAACACCCCTGCAGAGCCAGAGGTGTCCCAGCAGTGGCCTCAGCCCCGCTGGCAGGCCCTAAGCTGGAGCCCCATGAGCCCACAGCAGAGCCCAGCAGGTCACTCATCTTCAGATTCCCATGGGCGGGCTGACGACTGGGGACTTCCTCTTTTGGAGGATGGGAGAGGATGGGGTCCCAGGACAGACATGCAGGGTCAGGAGGGGGAGGGGCAGGTGCCTGGACAGGCAGGGGAGTGCACAGCGGCCAGGCCCACACAAGGGTGGGCGGGGAGGGCAGTGTGGCTGGAAAGACCAGGCTTCTCACTCTGCCACCCCCAGGCCGTACCCCAGCTGCAGGAAGGGACGGGCTAGGCACCCTGCCTGGGAGCCCGAGCATGTGCCCAGCATCATCAATACCAGCCAGCTTCATCCACCCCGGAGGGTCAAGTCCTCCGCCACTGTTGGTGAAGAAAATTTCTCTCTACTGCTAGTCACATCCCCTTTCCTTTCTGGGAGCTTAATGGGTGTTTTGTGGACAGGAAATAAAATCTGAATGTTTAGAAACTAAAACATCAAATGAAAGAGCCTTTGTCCTAGGTTTGTATAGTTTGCAGTGTGAATCGTCTCAGATTCCAGGGACCTGCTCCAATGGTAACTATTATTAGGGAAGACCCATAAAAACATCATTTATTGTTAGAAATCATGACATAATACAAAGTGAAAATCAACTTTATTTTTCATGAGTCATGTGAAAGATGAGCCACGCTCAGCAGCTCACCCTCCAGTGCTGGCCAGCAGCTTACCTTTTCAAGCCAGACAGCAGCTCACCAAGCCTTCAGGGAGGCAACTGGGCAGCCCAGCATGTCCTACTAACAAGTGTGCTCACCCACCACTGGCACCTCATTTAAACTATTGCAGTAAAGGTTGCTGGGACCAAGGCTCTTTCACTGAGGACCCTAGTTTTGGAAGGCTTCTCCTCTGGGCACTGCCAGCTCAACCTTCTGAACCAGATTCACATCCCAGGGATGGGTCACAAAGCTGAGGATGGCGCCTGGCACCTTGCTCCCCACACGGCCCACCCTCCCTGCTCTGTGGATGTAGTCCTGCAGGGTGAGGGGGACATCATAATTGATAATCAGTTCCATGTGGGTACTATCCAGGCCCCGAGAGCCTATGTCTGTGCAGAGAAGTGTGTCTTGCGAGCCCTTCTGGAAGCACTGGAAAACACCTGCCCTCACTGAGGCCGGCACTGGTCCCTGCAGCCTTGGTGTTGGATTTTGTGGTCATCCAGAATGTATCCGAGCCAGTTCACAGTGCTGGAGCTATTACAGAACACCGGAACAGTTCCTGAGGGACCGGTCCTACATGCTCTGTCATGCTCCGTGAGGACTTGTACCAACTCAGTCACCGTCTCTGCTCCCTTCAAGTCTCATAAATGTCTGTCTGACATGAGGTGTGATACAGTGGAGCTTGGAGCTGGTGATGGTGGTTAGAGAGTCTGGGCTGGCAACTTTCCTCAGCGGTTGGCCTACACCTTCGGGAAATGTGGCCCCCACCAGCACTAACTGAGCTTTGGGTGGAAGGGATCTTTTAAGTCATCTGGGCCTTCTGCTAAATGGCTCTTCTCCAAGATGTAATCCGCCAGTGAACATACAGCGTGTCCTGGCTCTGGTGGTCACAGGGGCTGAATGTTCACTGATTCATGGTAACCCTGAGCAGTTCCCCAGGACCCCCACTATCATAGATGGATACGGGGTAAGGCTATCAGAGTGAAAAAAAGCCAAAATCCCTTTGGGAACAGAGCATCTACCCCCAAAGAGTATACTGTGTATATGTCTCCCATCCTTGAGTATATTTTGGGGATTGATATCCTGCAGGGTCTATGGTTGCAGACCACTGTAGGAGAGTTCAGACTGAGAGTGCATGTGGTGAAGGCAGTTCTGAGGGTACATGCTACGCACCCGCCCATACCTTTGCCTGTGCCTGGGAAGGTGACCAATACCAAACAGTACAAACTGCCTGGAGGGCATGAAGAGATTGCAGAAACTCTCCAGGAGCTGGAAAAGGTGGGTATTATAAAGCCCAACCATAGTCCTTTCAATTCCCCAATATGGCCGATAAAAAAGCCATATGGCTCCTGGCGTATGACTGTGGATTACAGAGAGCTGAATAAAGTCAAACCCCCTGTGCATGCTGCTGTCCCCTCTATTGCAGCCCTGATGGATACCCTCAGCCATGAACTAGAAACATACCACTATGTGGCAGATCTTGCCAACGCCTTCTTTTCCATTGATATTGGGCAGGAAAGTCAGGAAGTTTGCTTTCACATGGGAAAGACGGAATGGACTTTCACCATCCTTCCACAGGGACACCCCCACAGCCCCGCCATCTTTCATAGACTTGTAGCCCAGGACTTGGCTACATGGGAGAAACCACCAGTGGTGCAGCTGTACCATTATAGTGATGATGTCATGCTCACATCCAATTCTCTTTCAGATCTAGAAGGTGCTGCTCCTAGACTGCTGCAGCGTCTACAGGAGAAAGGATGGGCTGTGAACAGCACCAAGGTTCAGGGACCTGGTTTGTCTGTCAAATTCTTGGGGGTCGTCTGGTCAGGTAAGACCAAAGTTATACCAGAAGCAATTACAGATAAAGTCCAGGGGCCTCGTGTCCATCGCCCAGGATGTGCCCCGCTGCCCCTGCAGCCGCTCCACGCTGGAGGCACGTGTCTGGTGTCCGCTCAGAAACCAGGGCACGGCCCCCGCCCCCCACCCGGTCCGCACGCCGGCGGCGGGCCAGGGAGGCCGAGCGTGCCTGCCGTCGCTGGGCTCCTGGGCGGCGGAGGTGTCTGAGGGCATCGCTCCCTCACTCTGCTCACTGCTTTCTAATAAATGTATTTCCCTAGGAGCGTGGCGATACTACCGTAAAAATCTAAATCATTTTGATTTTCACTTTGAAATACCATTTTAAAAAATTTTTAAAGAAAATCTAAGCACGTTCCTTCCTTCATCCCTTTTGGCAAGAATGATCGAAACCTAAGGGGCCTAAGTTAACCTAGTAAACTTACGTTCTGAAACCAAACCAAAAAAAAAAAACCTGTTTTTTCCGATTTGCCTAATCAGTGTATCTTCACTAGGGAAATTTCGAAAACTGAAAAAATAAGTTCCCAGCCCAGAGCAAATTACCCTGGAAAGCTGAAATCAGTCAAAGGGAGAAATAAAGTGGGAGAAACCTGTTTATTGCCTACAAACAGTCCACTTCTGCTCGCCTGTGTTCTCGCCACCCAGCTGTAAAAAGGAGGCCTGACCAAACCTCTCCAGCTCAGATACACCCTCGCTCCCGCGACCCTTGTAATCACCTCTTCCTGTAAACCACCCCCCACCCTTGTATCACCTCTCCTTCTCACCACTCCTTGTGAATCTCTCTTGATAAGGAGAGGCACTAAGGCCAGGCTAGAGATTCTGGAAATACTGCGATTTCACCCACAGAGAGGGGGCTTAAAAATCATCCAGTGCAGGGATGGGCAAACTTTTCTTGTGAACGGCCAGGAGGCCAATACTCTCAGCTCTGTGGGCCAGACAGTGTCGGTTGTGATGCCTTTAAGTCTGTTGTAGCTTGAGAGACTCCACAGACAATACGTAAACGAATGAATGTGGCTGTGTGCCAATAAAACTTCACAAACACAGAGAGTGGGCCAGATTTGGCCCATGGGCCATAAAACTTTCCTACTCTTGACCTATTCCAACATTTCCATTTAATAAGGTGGGGTTTGCCCAGGGTCACATGGCAAGTTAGGAGCAAAACCAGAACTTACTCTCAGGCCTGCCAACATCCTGTTTTATGCCTTCACTTTGACCTCTCTGCTGGCTGCACGATGCTTGTGAGTTTATAGGGCTGGCTGGCGTCTAGCCTCACGTCAGTTCTTTTGTACAAAGGAGGACCAGGGGCCTGCGCCACACACAGGGAACGCAAGGCCCAGGTTTGCTCCGGAGGAGCTGGCAAGAAAAAGACGAAGTCATAGCAGCTGCCTCATGGCAGATACTTGGGAAACGTCTGTCCAACGATGTCTCAACGTGGCTTGAAATTCTTCCAGGGTCAAGAACGCGATTTTAGAGAGGAAGTAACAGAATCAAGAATATGACTACCAGGGTTTCTGGCTGGAGCTGCTGCTGGGACTCTGTGCCTCCCCCCCACCCCAGCCTGGGACTCTATGGAGGCCGGGAAGACAGAGCAGGACCCTCAGTTCCTACAAATGCCCTTCACCCCCACATCTTATTTAGCCCCCGTCATCAGCCCCGCTGATGGCCCCAGCTTGCAGATGGGGAAGTCGAGGCCCAAAGAGGGGAGAGCTGAGCCCAAGATGCCCACCCACCCCAGCTCTGAGGGTCCAGGTCTCCTCCCCAGTGCCCTGTGGGCCCCTGGACCACCCCGCTAATCCGCCTTCTTGGTCTTCTTCTTCCTGGAGCCCTCACTCAGCTCCTCCTTGGGCTTGGTGGACAGGGCTGAGTGTGGGGAGCTGGGCCCACTGCCTCCGTGGGGCCTGCCATGGTTGTCATGCTGGTTGCCTCCCCAGACTGGCCTGAACAGCACAGGGCAGAGGTAGCCTTCCAGAACATCAAAAGGGGAGCTGTGTGAGTGAGTGGCCGTCAGGAACACCTGAGGTGGGGGACAGGCAGAGGGGACAGGGAGACAGGGGGCCGGGGGAGACCAAGGCAGAGAGCAAGTGGGTGGATGGGTGGGGAGGGAGGGAAAGGAGAGACCAACCAGGTCAAGGCTGGAGGTAGCTCGGACACAGCCCTCCGGCCGCACGCACCCCCAAGGAGGGTGACCGACTGTCCTGGGTCTCCTAGGATGCAAGACTCTCGGTGCTGAAACCCAGACCATGCCGGGCACCCCTGTGAGTGCCCCCACCCCCGGGTTCTGAGAGGCGCTGTGATTAGTCTGGGGTCAATTGCTGCCTTTCCCTCTTCATGGTCTGTGGTTCCCTCTAAGGGAGCCGGCAAGGGACCTCCCTGCTCTGCGGGGAGGAAGGACAGTGTGGCCTCGAAGATCCGTCCTGCATGGCATGGCCCCAGCGCAAACCCTGAGGTCAGACCAGCCCTATCCTGGTCTGGGAGGGAGGGAAAGGAGAGTCCCCGACGTCCTCAGGGTCCCTTCCCGGCACCATCCGTCTGCTCTCCAAGCTCAAGGCTCGAGGCCCCAGCTCCCCAGACTCCGTGGAATCCAACCCCACTGCTCCTGTGCCCAGAAGGCCTTGTCCCCCTCGCCCCATCCCCACCTGCTGGATACCATTCTTCTCAGATGCTCCTGCCATGCACAGACCCACTGGCAGGCTGCCCCAGTGCCCCCTGCCTTAGGGCTGGCCTACTGGGCCACACAAGGCAACCGGCCCACACTCCCAGCCTGGAAGGCGTGGGTCAGTGTGGGTCAGGGCAGGAAGGCTTACCTTACAGGACACCATGAACACGGTAAAGGTGAAGACAAGACTGGCTTTGGACACCGGGAGCCAGCGGGTCTGCTGCAGGGTGAAGAGAATGGCTCCGTACAGGCTGGCCTTGGTGGGGCTGGAGGGGACAGCCTCAGTTACCTGGAGGCACTGCCCAGCTCGAGCCGCCACACCTCTGGCCCAGATCCCCCTTCTCCGCCCACCCATGGCTGGCCCAGCTCCCATTGCCCCTGGCTCCTGGGAGGTGACTGCTAAACTCTAGGAATGTCCTTCCTGAGAGGGGATTTGGGGTCCCTCCAGATGCCATTCAGGGTGGGAGCCTTGGGCCACCTGTTATCAGTTCACTCTGCGGGGGCTGGAGACTGAGGTCGGCCATGCGGGCAGTCAGCTGTCTGTGTGACCAAGACCTAGTCAAATCTCTGGACACCAGGGCTCAGGGGAGCATCACCGTTGGCAGTGTTCAGTGCATGCTACGACACCGGATGCTGGGAGAAGCGGGGTGTGCACGCTGCTCCACTAAAAGGAGGCAACTGGAAGCTCGCATCTGACCCCTCCTGGGTGCCGCATGCACCGTTTGCCTTTGCCAATGTAAACCTGTATCCTTTCGCTGTAATAAACCCTAACCACGAGTATAATGGCTTTGCCAAGTTCTGTGAAGCCTTCTGGCAAATCACTGAACCTGGCTGGGGACACCTGAACAGCACTCTCCCCACAGAAGGAAGGATTACAACACATGAATTTTCTTAACTTTTCTTTCTTGCAGAATAGGTTTGCAGTATTTTAACTTGTTGCCGAGGACAGACTGGGATTTCTGTTCCTGTTGTCTGTGGCTCATTGCTTATCCTTTATGACAATAATTCTATCTGATGCTTCCAAAGTGCTCACCAGGTACCAGGGCTAGCAGGTTTGTATGTGTGATTTCATGGAGCCCTCACATTCGGATAATGAGGTGGAAATGGAACGTGAGAGGGGAAGCCATTTGCCCACTTAGTAGCAGGCAATGCAACTGCCCGGGTCCCTGTTTCCTTGTTGGTAAGGAGGTAATTATCACTGCCACATGGGTGACCCTTTTAATTTTGTCATATTTAAATGCCCACAGCTTGATTGTAGTTTGGGAGAAAATTTAACCAGCCTAGAATTGTTAAATCTTTTCAAAATGTATTACACTACATGCAGTGTAGAGTCCAAGGGGTCCTGGATGCTATCTGGCCCTGCCCACTGTTCCCCACTTAGCCTCAGGTACGCTCCCCAGCCCCACTCCATGCCCCACGCTCTCCATCAATGCTCGACACCCCACACTCTGTACTCCTCACTCCCCACCTACCCTCTGTACCCCAATCCTCTAGGACTGGGTAGAATCATTGCTCTTTTCTGAATTGACAGTTGGCAGAGGTGCTAGTCTCTGCCTGCAGGCTCCTCCTTTACCAGAAAGCTCCTACTCTTCAAAACCCAAATTGAATGTCTCATCTCCCTGTAGCTCTGCCTGCCCCTGCCCCCTAGGCAGAGCCATGATGCCCCTTTTGGAGTCCCCCAGTCACGGCCCCTTGAAGTCCTGGAAGCCAGAATCAGGGGCTGAAGCTTCCACATTACCAGGTATATCCAACCTAGGGTCAGGCCTGGAGGCACCTGTATGTACAGGAGGGATGGGGGGCGGACAGGATACTCACAAGGACATGTGCAGGATCTCGTTGGTTTCCGGCTTCCAGACCCCTCGCAGCAGCTGCTCAAAGTTGGACATGAGGGCAACACCTGAGCCTACGGGACAGGGTGGGTACTTCTGAACAAACCCACCACCCCCAGGTCCCCATTCTTGGCTGAATTCCCAGAAAAGCAGCTCCTCTGCTCCCTGAGTCTTCTTCGGAGGGACACTGAGGCTGCGGTGCATGATCATCAGTTGCAGGTGGGGAAACTGGGGCCTGAAAGGACAGTCTTGCTGAGGGTCACACGGCACATTTGGAGCAAAACCAGCAGGAGGAATAGAGGTCATGATCCCACCTGCAAGGTATGTTTCATACCAATGTGGGCTGTCTGCCCTGGTGCCTCCCACCTGGGACCGAGCTGTGCTGAGGCTTCTTCCAGAGGCCTCCCCACCCGCAGTCTCTCTCCCTTTGCGGCTCTGAGCTTTCAACATTTCTCAAGCCACTTTCCTTCTGGGAGGCATCCTGGAGAATTTGCTGTCTACTACAGGCTTCTTAGAGAAAGAATAAGGAAACCCAGATGGAGACATAGTGGTTATATTTCTAGAATAATCTTCCCATTTAGCCTAAATGCCTTGGCCCAAAAGGCTGGGACACCCCCTGTGGGAATGGCTGGGCTAAGTGGGGTGTCTGAGCTGTAGCTCTGACCCAGGTGTTCCTATCTGGGGTGGTTTTGCTGCCAAGGAGGTATTTGGCAGTATCCGGAGATAGTTTTAGTTGTTGCACCTGAGGAGGCAGGTGTTACTGCTGTCAGCCATCAGGTGGGTTGACTGAGCAGCCAGGGAGCTGCACGGGAACCCTACCATGCACAGGATGGCCTCCACCGCACGGCACGACCCAGCCCCAAATGCCAGTGGTGCTGAGGACACCGGGGCTTGATGGAAGGTGACTCTAGGCTCTAGCATTTTGCAGGCAGGAGGCAGGGATAAGGTCCATGGTGGCTCAGCGCCTGCTTGAGCCTTCTTTCCCTCTCTTCCTGTTACTCCTTGCTCCACCTCTACAGCTACTATTGTTGATTGTCTGTTTCTCTTTCAACGTCTCAGAGTTTTTGCTTTCTGCATTTTGGTGCTGTTTTCAGGTGTATATAGGTGTATAACTGTTACATCTTCCTAGTAGATTGACTTATCATTATAAAGTGTCCCTCTTTATTTTTAGTAATGCTTTTTGTTTTAAAGTCTATCTTGGTCTGCCTCTTAGCATTAATGGATGAGGGGGAAAAGGAAGGCTTCCAAGCTAGACACTGGATTCAGATGACCTAGAGTGAAACACAGCTCCACCCCATTTGCTGCACGATTTTGAGCAAGTCACGTCATTTCCCTCCTCCATAAAAGGGGATGACACTGCATTTCTCTTGACGCAAGAAGAGTCTGAAGGATCAGATGGGGTAAGATGCACAAAGGCCTCATCTCAAAACCTGCCCTGAGTAAGGGGTCTTAACCTGGAGCCCATGGGCCCAGACAGGAAACCGAGCTACATCTTCACTTTCACACTCCTCACTGAAGAAGCCCAGTCTTCCCTCCGTCATCGTGGGAGGCAATGACCTCAGAGGGATTTGCAAGGCTGTGACTCTATCACCAACAGAATTCACGGATTTTTTCTTTTCACACTCTCATTGCTGCAGATGGTTTCAAGATATCATTTGTATTCACCATCAGTTCAAAAGTTTGAGAGTAATGAGAAGCCAGTGGAAGGTCTGCTATTTAATGCATTAACAAAGGTGCATAGAATCACTTTGTCATATTTTACAAATGTATAGCTATTTTAAAATAATGGGCCTCCTTTATTGTTCTATATATTTTATTTTATGCACCTAAAATCATAAAAGGATTTACTGGGCTGACAAAAGCACCGTGGTCCACAAAGCTTAACCCCTGGAGTTACAAGGGTGTGAATTCCTCTCCAGGAGGCATTTCGCAGTGTCTAGAAACATTTTTCGTTTACCCTGGCAGGTGCTATAGGCATGTAGTGGATGGAGGCCAAGTATGCCATGCGACATCCCACAGGGCACAGGACGGCCCCACCAGAGAAGGACACGGCCCCAGATGTCAGCAGTGCCACAGTTGAGAAACCTGCTCTGCAGACCTCAGCCATCATTGTGGTGGTGGTGTTTACCTTTGACAGCTAAATTTCTGGAAGAATCCACTTACCCTGAAGGTGTGGGCTAATGGGGAGGTTGGACTTCCGGGGGAGGCCTGACACCCTTTAGCCTGGAGCAGTGGCTGTCAACTCTGGTACCAGATATATAGCACTGAGGAGGGCTTTCCAACGGGGCTGAGTTCCCACTGTGGTCGTCCTGGCCGTTTACCTTTGACCCAGCCGGTGGCGATCATGATGAACCACCCGTGGTGGTAGTGGTGGTGCGCATGGTGGATGCCCACTGCGATCTTGCGGACTCTCACCACCTCCTTCATGGCCACGAAGATGAGCTTCACAGGCAGGAAGCAGACACATTTGTAAAAGAGGTCCAAGGGGCAGAAGAAAATCAAGTACCTTTGGGGAGAGAATGCCTGGCGTCAGGGGGACACAGGCTGTGACAGCCCTCAGGAGGTGAGGTTGTGTCCCAACCCCCCACCCCCACTTGCTGGGCTCAGGACAGAGCCAGGCAGTGGTGAGTGGTGTGTGAGGGCCCCCATGGAGGGTGTGCCGATGGGTTCTCCTACTTCATCCAACCCGGTGCCTCCCACCTCCCAGCTGGCTGGGTCACCCCTGTGCCCACCCAGGGCTCTGCTCTCCCATGTCGCACCAGCCTGGCAGTGCTTACCAGACGGCGGAGGCCAGCAGGATGCTGGAATTGTTGCTGAAGTAGTCGATCAGGGGCTCCCCGAGAAGCAGATCTGCCAGGATATAACTCCCGAAGCAATGCAGCATGGCGCACAGCCAGGACGCCATGGGGTGGCGCTGGGACAGCTCGACTGCTCCTGCGGGTGCATGGGGTGTCCCCCACCGTCACCAAGGGCATGCTTCACCCCCATGCCCCCTGGTCAGCCCATCCGATGGTCGCTGCCTCTGCAGATGTCTGCCCGGTGCCTTGCAGCTCGCCCATTTCAGAGGAAGAACCAAGGCTCAGAGAGTCTGCACACGTGTCCGAGGTCACACAGAGAAGTCAGAGCTGGGCCGGAGCCCGTCCTCGGCTCACAGAGGTGGCGGTGGACCGTAATGGCAGCTCACATTTAGCAGTCCCTCCCGGGTCTCAAACAGCGGGGTTTGTATGGGAAAGACCCAAAGCTTCGTGGAGAACTGCAGTCAGGTCACCTATCACTCTTCGTACCTCCGCCGGGGACAGAGGTTCGGGCAGACGCACCACTGCTGCCAGGGCTCCGTCGCTGCAGCTACTCCTGCCGCAGGCCAATGCCGAGAGCCCTCCACGCTCACGCCTGTGCTCTTGGTCTCTCCCTCGTTTCTTTTTTAATTGAAGTATGGTTGATATAATATTATACTGGCTTCAGGTGTACAACATGGTGATTAGACAACTACATACTTTAGGAAATGCTCACCACGGTAAGTGTAGCTACCCTCTCATCCTACAAAGTTATTATAATATTACTGACAATATTCCCTATGCTCTACTTTCATCCCTATGACGTATTATTTTATAACTGGAAGTGTGTACCTCTTCACCGCCTTCACGCATTCCCCCACCTCCCCCTCCCCTCTGGCACCCACTGGTCTGTTCTCTGTGTTTATGAATCTATTTCTGTTGCGTTCATTTTGATTTTTAGAATCCACGTGTAAGTGTAATTATATGGTTCCTCTTTTTAAATTTTTTAAATTGTGTAAACATATACATAAAGTGTACCACTTCAACCATTTTGAGTGTCCAGGTCAGGGGCGCTAAGTACCCCACATGGCCGTGCAGCACCCCACCATCCATCTCCAGAGCTTTTCCATCTTCCCGAATGGCAACTGTCCCCATAAAACACTGACTCCCCTCCCTCCCCCAGCCCCCACCATCTACTTCCTGTCCCTATGAATCTGACCCCTCTAGGGGCCTCAGATAACTGGGACCACACAGCATTTGTTGTGTGACTGACATTTCACTTGGCAGAATGTCATCAAGCCTCATCCAGGTTGTAGCGTGAGTCAGAAGCTCCTTCCCTGTTAGGGGTGAGTGACATTCCTCGTTTACCCATTCATCCGTCAGTGGACATCGGGCTGTCTCCACCTTTAGAGCATTGTGACTAATGCTGCCGAGAACATGATTATACAAATATTTGAGTTCCTGCTTTCAATTCTTTTGGGTATATACCCAGAAGTGGAATTGCTGGATCAGATGGCAATTCTGTTTAATTTTTAATTAAAATTAGTGTTTTCCACATTGGCTGTCCCATTTTACATTCCCACCAACAGTGCACAAGGATTCCGACTTCTCCACATCCTCACCAACACTTGTTTTCTGCTCTTTTAGTAAACAGCCATCCTGGCGGGGGGGGGGCACCTCAGTGGTTTTGACTGGCATTTCCCTCGCAATCACTGATGCTGAGCATCCTCCCAAGGGCTTATGGGCCACTCCTGTATCTCTTTGGAGAAATGTCTATTCAAGTCCTTTGCCCATTTTTTAAAAATTGGGTTGTATTTTTGTTGAGCTGTGCTCCCTCCCTCCTGTGGAGAATGTTATATGCTGGGGAGGAGCTTTCCTGGACCCCAGATGGGAAGGCACAGCAGAAGGGACGTGAAAGGTGAAGCCAAAGAGTTCCTGAGCCCTGTCTTGCTGGAGGAACGCCACCGAGGCAGAGGAAAACCACAGGGTGTCGTACTGATGGGGGCAGTGCAGGGCGTGCCCATGGGTGTGGAGGGGTGCAGGAAGTGATGAGCAAAGCCAGGTAAGGGAATCCTTGAAGGTAGAATTATAAAATTGAGAAGGGAGAGAGAGCCCATTACAAGCTAGAGGCATGGGAGGAACAAAGACACAAAAGCAGAAATGACCAAGCACAAAGCCACCTCCTCCAGGAAGACTTTCTTGCTCTGCTGAGTCTACCATTCCCACTGCCTTGTGAACTTTACCCTATTATAGGTCTTGCTATCTTACTCAGTTTTTAACATTGAATAACAGGAAGTAAATTAAGAGTTTCTTAGGGCTGGAGGGAATGGGGGAGATGAGAGGGTGACAGCTAAAGGATGCAGGTTGCTTTTGGAGATGATGGTTGCAAAATACTGTGAATATACCAAATACCTATGAATGTGAACCTTTAAATGGGTGAATTGGGTAGTATACGTATTATATCTCAATAAAGCTGTTAACAATGATAAACAATGGAATTTATTTCAGTTTCTGCAACTGAGAATACACATTCATAAACGATACTAAATTGCATCTTCTTAAAAGCCCAAGACAACAAAATACAAAAGAATGGTGTTGCTTAGTGAATAGAAATGGGAAGCCCATCCCTCAAGGTGGTGGCTCAGTGCATTGGTCTCCAACTTGGCTGTACACCTGCATGACCTGGGGACTTTACAGACACCTGACACTTGCATCCCTCCCCAGGGCATCTCAGTTGGTGGGTGGGTCTGGGTCCTGACTGGGCTTGCAGAGTTTTTAATGCTCCTAAGTGATTCTCATGTGCAGCGATGTTAAGCATTATACAAAGATAGAGTGAAGTGGCTGGTGTCCTGAAATCCTGCAGTCCTGATAACCCAACATCCTGTACCCATGGTGAGGAGGATGGGCTCTCAAGAGCAATCATTTTTCAAACTGTGTTCCTGGGAACACTGAGGATTTGCAAAGGCAAAGGAGACGAAGCGTGTATGTTCTGGGTCCCTTGCCCCATTTCAACCAGAGTATGCCTAGTACTGCTTCATCTCAGAGTTTGGGCAAGATTTTATTTGAAAAAGGAAGGCTGGTGTTTAACACAGACATGCATGTAAATGTACATAGCAGTGGTATTTATAAACTCAGATGGCTTCAGTGGGTGAAGGGCTAAAGAAACTGTCATATGTTCATGTCATGGAACACTGTTCAGCAATGAAAAGGGAATGAACCTGAGATGTATGCAACAACCCACTGGCTCCCCACCTGCATGGTTATGCTGAGCGAAAGCAGCCAGTCTCAGAAGGTTACATGCCATGTGGTTCCATTTCTATTACATTCTCCAAGTGACAAAATCTTTGTGATGAGTGACAGAGAGCAGATCAGAGGTCATCAGAGGTTAGGGTTCAGAGGAGGGTTGTAACTACAGGAGGTTTACCAAGGAGTTTATTTGGGGTGCAGGAACCACTCTGTATCCTGTGGTAGTGGTTACTTGAATCTACACACATGATAAAATGTAACAGAATACATTTTTAAAAGTGCATGTAAAAACTGCTGAACAAAGTCTGTAGTTGCTGTCGATGGGATTGTACCAGTGTCAATTACCTGGTTTTAATAATAAGTTACCATCACAGTAAGATGTCACAGGGGGAAGCTGGGTGAAGGGGACTCGGGAATTCTTTGTACTTCTTAGGAAATTTTTGTAACTTCTTAGGAGTCTTGAACTCTCTCAAGATAAAAAAACTATGTTAAAATCCCACATTAAAATAGTGGAGGGTAGGGAGTCTAGTTCTTAAAAAATAAATTTGCAAAAACCACTAGGGGTACATGTCCATTAGTCACCTTATACTTTGTACTACCCACTTAAAATCTTTAGTATCTTTACAAATATATTCTATCTTTGTACTAACATGATCGTAATCTCCTATAGTAGCACCCCTGAGTTGGAACCTGGGTGTCTCCTGGTGTGATGACTTATTTCGTCATTTTGGTTTATTCCCTCAACTAGTTTCATTATCTAGGAAATGACTTTAGGATCAAGGCATAAGGCACAACTCCTTATCCCTCACGTCCAGAACTGGTACCAGTGACTCCCCTTAAACAATGTAGTTGAATCCAAAGACAGCTCCAGTCAATGTGGACATGAGGTGACAAGGTGACAACCTGTGATCTCCTATTAATCAAACATCTCACTAAAAGAAATAATTGGTTCAGGTTTGGGGATTATTTTTGGAAAGTGTCACTTTGATTCTAGAGATCAGATGCTCCTACATTGTCCAATCTCAATGCTTGGACTCTCTCTGCCATGTACTGTGTGTGAAGCTACTGATAGAAATGCTTATATATACTACTGATACGCTCAGCAAGTCCATTTGCTCTTATCAGCTGGTGAGTACAGAGACCTTGTCAGTTTTACCTGCTGCAGAATCCACAGTGCATAGTGGTGCCTGACGCACAGTCCATAGCTGTGAGCTAAGGAACAGCCTGAGCCGCCCTCCTGCAGCTTACATTCTAGCAAGTGTGGACTGACCACCTCCTGGGCACTGAGGTTTGTGTCCAGCACTTTTGGTTACATTGTAACAACCTCCCCAGCTCTACTTTTTTCCTCCCAGGCAACTACATCCTAGAGATTTCAACCATACTTAATATATGGATTAATATCCCTACCTACTGTGAGTTATGGTGGGGATTTGTGTCCCCCTGCCCAGAATTCATGTTCACTGGAACCTCTGAACAGGACTTTATTTGGAATATAGTCATTGTAGGGCCATTCATTCCAGGAGACAAGAAGTCCACTTTTCTTTGTGGAAGGAGCTGTCTTCTCAGCTGGTCAACCTCACAGAGACCTGGGGAGGGGAGGGGAGGGGGAATATCCACCCCTCTTCCAGGAAGACAAAGCCCAGGTTTCCCTCCTATACATACAGTGTGGGGATCAACAGGTATAACCACCTTGGGGGCAATTTGGCACTACTGAGGGAATCTGAAGCTATGGGGTACCCCAGCAATTAATTCCACTCCCTGCTACTGACCCCCCAAAAATAAGCACATGTGGGTAAAGAGACATAGGAAGAAGGATTTCATGGCCACACTGTTATGGCAGCAGAAAAATAAAGTGTACTCTTTCTCGGTAAGGAGGTGGACCATCACACAAAATGGAACGCCACAGAACTGCCA